TGGCAGCCTGGATGGGGTTAAATTTGTTTACTTGGCTGGCAGGCTAGCCATGGCTCTAGCAGAGACTGGTGGGTGAACAGCTGAGACCTATCTTCAAGGGAAGGAAACTAAGACTGAGTGCCACAATTGGCCAGCAGGAGGTGCTATAGGGCAGTCATGATCCCATGACAGTCAGGTAGGCACCTTTTGCTGTCCCTGTGAAACTCTGGCTGAATCATAAGCCCTTGAAAAACTACAGTCCATGCAGGCTCAGAGTCTGACTAGAGTTTTGCAGCTAGATCCCCTGTAATTCCATCTGTGCTGAGCATATGCCATCCAGGGCTAGGCTGAGCAGGATGTTCCCTGTAATTGCTGCTCTGGGTTGGTGTGGGCCAGGACCAGGAGCTGATATGGAAAATAGGGGGTCTGTCTCGCCTCAGCACTCAATGCCTCCCCTGCTGATGCCCAGGCAGTGAGGAGGAAGCTGACTGATCTGAATGCAGAGGGGAGAAGAGATTGACTAGGTAGGCACAGAAGGACTGGGAGTGGGAACTCCGACAGGGAGGGCTTGTAGGTACTCCACCTCCCCGAGAGGCAGTAGTTACATCAACAGGAGACTTGTCCCATTGACCTAGCATGGTCTGCACTGGGGGTTAGGTCAGTTTAATTGCACCACAGGGATGTGGACTTTTCACACCACTAAGGCCTGGTCTACACTACGGGATTAATTCGGATTTAGCAGCGTTAATCCGAATTAACCCTTCACCCGTCCACACTACAGAGCCAGTTAATTCGAATTAAAGGGCCCTTTAAATCGATTTCTGTACTCCACCTCGACGAACGGAGTAGAGCCTAAATCGATTTTGTTAATTCGAATTAGGGTTAGTGTGGCCGCACACCACCGAATTACTGTGTTTAAATTAATGGGGTAGTGTGGCCGCACATCACCGAATTAATGTGGTTAAAAACCGAATTAAGGTGCTTAGTGTGGCCGCGCACAATCGAATTTATACAACCTGTTTCCCAAATTCGAATTATCTAAATTCGGATTAATCCTGTAGTGTAGACATACCCTTAGCAACATACTTGTACCAATCTGATTTCATAGTGTGGAGCAGTCCTGAGCCCAGGAGCTAGGGGGTATTGTGGATGCTAAGGGCTGGTCTACACCAAAAAGTGATATTGGCATAGCTACCTCTTTCAGGGGGGTGAAAAAGTCATGCCCTGAGACGTGTAGTTAAGCTGCCCTAACCTTCCGTGTAGATGCTGTCAGGTCCATGGAAGAAGTCTTCTGTTGACCTAGTGACCACCTCTCAGGGTGGTGAATTGCCTACAGCAACAGGAGAACCCTTCCTGTCACTGTAGTGAGTGTCTATGCTTGAGCTCAACAGCTGAGCTGCTGTAGTGTTTTAGGTGTACACCTAAACTAAGGCTGGACAAGTACCCTGAGGAGGGAGACCGGGACTGGGAGCCAGTAGGGACGGAGAACTTTGGTGGAAGATAGACTGGATGCCGGGGGGGGGGGGCAAAGAGACAGGTTCAACAAGGAGCTGGGAAGTGGGGGAACTGGGAGTGGCTGGGCAAGTGGACTAGGAAACTGGAGGGGGGGCGGGCTGGGCAAGGAGACTGGGCCTGGGGTGGGGACGAGACAGGACTGGTACAGATGGGTTGGGACAGAAGGGGTCAGGATTGTAGGAAATGGGCAGAAGAGGCTGCCCACGAGGCAACGCTCCTCTCTGGAGCCTAGCATGGAACCCAAGGTTCCACAAATACCTATGAAAGTGTCTTCCCCTTCCAGCACTGGTCCACACAGAGGGTGACAACCTACTACTGCTATTGGTTACTCCATTAGTCCAAGAGGCAGAGATCTGTGGGGTGGATCTCAAGGTTCCAAACCTGCTGCTGACTCTTGTGGGAGTCTATGTATTGCCGCATGACGGAATGTCTGATTTTTTTTTTTCACTTTGCTTTTTAAAAAAACTAGGAAATTGAATGCGCACACACAAAAATGCATTAAAAGAACATTAAGTTTGCCAAGCCCAGCACTCAAAAGTGTGTGTGTGTGTGTGTGTGTGGGGTCCCTGCTTTCAAGAGCTAATGCCCAAGGCAGATGGGGAAGTGACTTGCCCAATGTCACACCACGGGCAGAGCACAGGTCTCCTACCTCCCGTGCCCTGTCTACTAACTAGCCCATGTGGCCTCGCCTCCCCTATTTATCATTTTAAACCAGAATCTTGAGTCCCGCCTAAAACACAAGCTAGAGTGAACAGGAAGAAATCACAGGTAAATACAACTTCATAACCTTCCACTTGAGTGGTTCATAGTCTGTTTTCCCCCTGCCACACACACTTTTTTCTGTTTTTTCTCTCCCCCCCCCCCCTTCCCCCACTTTCTTTCCTTCTCTCCATTCCTTTCTTTCTCTCCTCTCTGGCAATTGTTTTCGTCACTGTATCTTATTGCTAAGGAGCAGCAGGAAGGCCCGAGTAAAGGGAGAATCTAAAATGTACTCTTCTGCCCTACTAGGGGGTGGTTATCCTTTGAGAGCTGCATTTAATGCTCTTCTGTGCAAAAGTTATGTCCTCTACAGCCTGATTAGTGCTTTTCATTATGAAGGATCCCAAAGCACTTTATGATGTAAAGTCCATCAATGGCTATTAGCCAGGATGGGCAGGGATGGTGTGTATCCCTAGCCTGTTTGCCAGAAGTTGGGAATGGGTGACAGGGGATTGATCACTTGCTGATTACCTGTTCTGTTCATTCCCTCTGGGGCACCTGACATTGGCCAATGTTGGAAGACCAGATACTGGGGTAGATGGACCTTTGGTCTGACCCAGTATGGCTGTTCTTAGGTACTCAGTGGGGCAGGTCCTCAGAAGTGGCAAATGTCATGGCACTATGGAAGTGAGAGGGTCTATATAATTGACTACAGCTGAGGATCTGCCCCTGTCTGTATATACAATAGTGGGTGTGGGGAGGACCTGTTCCGGGTTATGGCTTGATCCACCATAGTAAGTGCTGCATGCAGAAATAGGTTTCACAAGATTGAACCGTTCGTGGTTGCCATCTGATGTGCTGCCACATAGGAGTATGCCACATTGCTGCTGGACTACAAAATAACACCCCCAAAACTGGCAAGGACTTGGCAGCTTGGCCACTCTAGCTCCGCTGCGTTCTCCAGCAGTTTGCATGGTGTGGACTCTGGTTGTTCTGGGCAAGAATACAAATACAGGCCTGGGAGTTTTCCCATAATGAAGCAGTCTGCCTTGAATTCAGGAAGGTCTTTTTTTTGTGTTTGACAAGGTGGGTGAGGTAATATCTTTTATTGGACCAACTTTGTCACAACTAAATACCAGGTGAAACAGATTGTTTAGCGTAAGTAGTTAACACATTTCAAGGGACCATTCAAGGTGAAGTGGATTTTAACACCCCTCCAATCATAGAGGGAAAGGGGGAGAAGAGAAGTGTGGGGGGGTTGTTAGTGGGTTACAGATTGTTGTAATACAGTGGCTCCAACCTTTCCAGATTCCTGTTCCCCTTTCAGGAGTCTGATTTATCTTGTGTACCCCCAGATTTCACCTCACTTAAAAACTACTTGCTTACAAAATCAGAAATAAAAATACAAAGGTGTCACAGCACATTATTACTGAAAAATTGCTTTCTTTCTAATTTTTACCATATAATTATAAAATAGATCAATTGGAATGTTGTACTTACATTTCAGTGTATAGTATATAGAGTAGTATAAACAAGTCATTGTCTGTATGAAATTTTAGTTTGTACTGACTTCGCTAGCATTTTTTATGTAGCCTGTTGTAAAACTAGGCAAATATCTAGATGAGTTGATGTACCCCCTGGAACCTCTGCATACCCCGAGGGGTGCATGTACTCTTGGTTGAGAACCTATGCTGACAGGAGAGTTCTCCCATTGGCATAATTAAACCACCCCCAAGGACCAGAGGTAGCTGTGTTGGCAGGAGTGTCTCCCACTGACATAGCGCTGTCCACACCAGCACTTTTGTCTGTGAAATTTGTCAGTGAGGGTGGTGTGTGTGTTTTGTTTGTTTGTTTTTTTACACCCCTGACCGACAAAAGTGCTAGTGTAGACATAGCCTTAGTGTAGGTAACAATTTCAGACAGAAGAGACTTAAACTGATGATGCCCCTTTCACAGGGCTATGACCCTTGGTTTTCATGTAGACCGTTTGTGTGTTATGTTGTAGTGATTAAGCTATGCTTTCTGTTTAGCATTTGTCTCTATTGCATGGTGTTGGAAGAGAAGGTTATCTGGGGGGGGGGATCTTGAGTTTTAGGTCTGGGGGGGCTGCAGGGAATGAGTCTCTTTGGATATGAATTACCTGGTAGCCTGTCCTAACTTCATCAGAAATGTTAGACTGACACATCAACGCAGGTGATGTATGGATGGCGGGTGGGTGGGAGGGCAGACTTTCTAGACCTAAGGCACCAAGCCTAGGGAGTGAGGTTGTGGAATTTAAGGACTGGATCCAACGCCCAGTTGGGGATCATGAGTCTTTGCGCTCAGCTTCTCCTCAGTTGACTCTTCAAACATTCTTCCAGTTGTGATCACTTAGGAGGCGTTAGGGTTAGGTGCAGGTATCCTCCTCCCACACACCTCTTCGTTGGGGGGGCACACACCCCACCCCAGACCCCATATCCCTCCAACATGCCCTAGGAAAAGCCTATTCCCCATTGACGCTTCCTTCAGTCTGGCCTCTCTCAATCCTCTCGGGTCGGTCCCTCTCCACCCCCTCCCAGACCCTCCCTACATCAATAGTGAAAATGTTGGGGTCCTAAGATATCACAGCCCCTATGCCGTTTCCACAGCACCTTTAACAGACAAACTGTCTGAGGGGCCATTTCTCTCTGGCTTCCCGTTTCTCTAAAGCTGCCTTCACCTTCCCCCCATTTTTACCCTGGGTCTCCCCTGGCACTAGCCAGCAGCTGAGGTACAAACCTGCCATTCCTATAGGCTCCCCAACAACGCTGAACCTCGGAGATGCTCACGATATGGGAGCAGGATCAGGAGCTGCTGCCGACTCCAGGGCAGAGAGCAGGGCATGAACCAGTCCTGGGTCACTGGCCCTTTGGGGGCGTCTGGCAGGTATGGCCTCTTCCCCTCAGCAGGGGGCAATCCCATGGAAAGTCTTGGGCTGGTGGCGTTAATCCTGGAGTGCCTAATCCTGACTGGAAATGTAGAGGCTTGATTGCCCCCAGGCCCCTGTTCCAGGAGGGATGGGGCAGTCAGCAGCAAGGGGAGTCCATGCCCAAGGGGGCAGAGGCCACGGAGAACATCATGACTTCTTCCATCTCCATTCTGAGAGTGGGTGAGCAGGGCAGCGTGGCACCAGAGGTTTCATCAGAAGAAGTGAGTGGTTGGGGAGCAAGGGGCCTGACACACAGCCCTGGCTGAACAGCTCCAAACATAGGGGGGTTGGATCCAGCTCCCAGTTTTGGGCCCCACACTATAAGAAGGATGTGGAAAAATTGGAAAGAGTCCAGCGGAGGGCAACAAAAATGATTAGGGGTCTGGAGCACATGACTTATGAGGAGAGGCTGAGGGAACTGGGATTGTTTAGTCTCCAGAAGAGAAGAATGAGGGGGGATTTGATAGCAGCCTTCAACTACCTGAAGGGGGGTTCCAAAGAGGATGGAACTCGGCTGTTCTCAGTGGTGGCAGATGACAGAACAAGGAGCAATGGTCTCAAGTTGCAGTGGGGGAGGTCCAGGTTGGATATTAGGAAACACTATTTCACTAGGAGGGTGGTGAAGCACTGGAATGCGTTACCTAGGGAGGTGGTGGAGTCTCCTTCCTTGGAGGTTTTTAAGGCCCGGCTTGACAAAGCCCTGGCTGGGATGATTTAGTTGGGAATTGGTCCTGCTTTGAGCAGGGGGTTGGACTAGATGACCTCTTGAGGTCCCTTCCAACCCTGATATTCTATGATTCCCCGGCTTGGGCGGATCTATTGGGAACGCAGTGATGGTGCTAAGGCAGACAGGCCAGGGGGACACCAAGGGGGAACCCAGCTATCCACAAGACTCTAGGTTTGGAGCAGGGGGTGGATCACAGCTACCCCTGGTGTGGATGGGGATGGGGGATCCCAGCCATTCAAAGGCCCTGGGGCAATGGGGGTGTCACAGTTATCCACAAGCCCCTGGGGCAGGGTGGGTTGGGGATCTCCGCTATCTACAAGGCTCTCAGAGGGATGGCTGAGGGTCACAGCTACTCACAAGGCCCTGGGTCAGATGGGGATGGAGAATCGCAGCTACCCACGTGGCCCTGAGGCAGGCTGTCCTATGCCCACAGAGGGTTGATTGGTGCTGAGGCTGGCTCCTCCCTACCCTATCTGTTTGTCTCTTGTTGCAGGCGTCCCTCAGTAGTACGCATGGCTTGTGCAGGGGCTGTGGGGACAAGCTCAGGGCGTGGCATGGGGAGATCTCATGCCATCTGGGCTGATACAGGTACTTTGGAGACTGGACCCTGTGCCCATGCCATGGAGGTGTCGCCCAAGCCCTCCCACCACCAGGCAGCAAGAGGAGGCACCTGCCACTCAAGCCTGGCTTCCTCGGAGCTCCCAACTCACTGCTGGGGGGAGAGCCCAGGAAGCGACGGAGGCGAAGCGAGTCCTCTGCCTGGCCTAGCCCCTAACACCTGCCCCAGCCCTCATCTTCCCACCAATGTGAACAGCACACCCCTGGTGACTCTTCTCCTGCCCCCTCCCCCACTACCACTATCCCCCTTTGGGGCCTCCATCCCTGCCTGCCCCTCATCCTGGCCCCAAAGGTGGCTCATCTCCTACTCCCAACCAGCTCCTTCCCTCCCTTGCCGCACTAACACCAGTCCTGCTGGAGCCTCCTCTGCTGCCAGGGCTTTAATAGCAGGCTCCCTTGCGCTGGAACATCAGTTCCTTGGCGAGTCTCCCCTGCAGCATGCCCAGGCCCATGTCCTTGGCCCTACTGCGGCCATTACACCAGTCCCACTTGGCCCTGCAGGGGGGACCCTGGGGCCTGGCTCCCTCCCAATTTAACATCAATGGCAGGCTGCTCCATCACCCTGCGGGGAGGAATTTGCTGCTGTTCCTATGTGCCTTGCCTGGAGAGAGGCTTTGCTGGGGCTGTTGCTGCTGCTGGAAAAACCCTGATCCCTACACCTGCTTTACTCCCTGCCTTGCACTGCACACCTGCCCAGAGAGGGCTGCTTGGTCTCGGGGGGAATCTGAGACTCCATACCAAGGATTGCAGTTATTGCCCTGCTGCAGCAGAGCCCTTTCAAGGAGGGGGCACCACGGGGACTGGTTCTACCCCACCACTAACACTGCTGCATCTTGACCAGCTGTTACCTGCCCATTTAAATCCTGGCATGCAGCCAGGTGTACCCCTTGGCGATGCCAGCGCGTGGCAAGGTCAGGCACCTGGAGTCACCTGCCCATTATAGCAGCCATGACGCAGGCGTCTATGTAGTCCCATGCTGAGGGAGCAAGTGAAGCAGTGCAACCCCCTAACGAAGATGCGCTGCACTGGCGCAAATAGGGATCACGCGGGGCTATGTTATACCAGTGCAAGCCCTGTTTCGAACCCGTGCAGCACATCTTTGTGCTAGTTGGGGTGATGTAGCTCCACCCGTGCAAATGTCTCCAATGCACACAGGGCCTAAAAGAACAGACTAGAAAAGGAAGGAGTGGAAGGAGAAGAGTAAAGTTGTGCAATTCACGGGATCAGGGAGGAGATTCCAGGCAGGGGACAATATGAGAACAGGCCCAGTCACTTGTGAAGGGAGCAGAGGAGGGGTGTAACAAGGGGGGCTGAGATGGAAGCAGCAGGAACAGGGAGTGTAGGGGAAATTAAAACAAGGAGATGTCAGTAGCAGTTGAATCTTCACATGTGTTTTGCATAAATATTAGCACAAATAACAAGCCACTCTTATCTGTTACTGTTCCTCGCTTGTAAGTGAAGCTATTAAAGGGGAGGTGGCCAACCATGGTGCCCCATTGAGACAACGCACATCAGAGCACAGGAGGATATTGATGAGATGCTCTTGGCTTTGAGGAGATGTTGATGGCAGCCTGATGATTTAAAAACCCTCCCCCACAAGTCCCCTTCCTACAGACAGATGCAGCGCTCCCTGGAGAGGCTAGGGTGACAAGATGTCCTGATTTTATAGGGACAGTCCTGATTTTTGGGTCTTTTTCTTATATAGGCTCCTATTACCTCCCCACCCCGTCCTGATTTTTCACACTTGCTGTCTGGTCACCCGAGGAGAGGCCCACATGGACTCCAATCACTGAGCTCCCACGACATCACTCCACCCAGCAGAAAGCTAGGGAGCTGGTGTGGGAGCAGCAGAAGAGGTGGGCAGGTGCCACCCGTAGGGGGAGGCAGCTGGGGGAGGCAGGAGATGACCGGAAAGCCTAAGGAGGAAGGTAGGGATCACTCTCCCCACATCCCCAGGTTCGGGGTGGCTGAGGCTCACAGAGGGGAAGAGGTCAAGGGCAGAGCTGAGGAGTGCTGGGGAGGGTGGCTATGGGGTGGGGGCTGACAGCGCCTCTGAATGTACCAGGGCAATAAGCCAGCATCTGCCCTGCAGCCCCCTCCCCCTCCATGCATGGGGCAATGGCCCAGCATCCCCGGCACAGGGACAGCCCCCTCCTCTCGTACCAGTGCAATGGGCCAGCACTGGGAGTTCAGCCCCCTCCAGCATCCCCTGCACAGGGCAGGGACACTACAGCCCCTGGCCAGGGCAAACAGCAACACTCCTCTCCCCCCCCCCCCCCCCCC